AAAGGTGTAAATATTTATGACATCATCAGACACACCACTCAAAAAAAGTCCATTAGGGTTCAGTTATATGATGTTTGGAAACAATAATATGACTTTTAGCTAGAAGATACATCTCTCTCTCTATTTCAGCTGTAATTCAAAATCACTGGCAATTACCAGGGATACTTCCACAGGTGTGGGACTGGTCCCCAGTTCTAGTTTCACCACAGTAAAAACTGTTAGATTATACTACATTCATATACACAAACTCTAAAGTTCCTAAAGAGGCATAGAAGTTTCAAAATGCATCATGAGTGTGTTACAGAAAACAATGCAATAGCTGTCTTTTGTACCATTGACTTATTTATTTCTAAAGCTGACTTTGTTGCTCTAACTCCTCACAAAGCTTTTTGAGGCTCTTTGCATTACAAATAAATAGCTACTTTGGGTGTAACCTCCCAGGGCCTTTTCAGAGAGAGGAGAGGTTCTGGTGGCATTATGTATAGTTTATACTACCAAGATCTTTAGCCAATGTAATATTACTTGGATGGAATGATAAGTGCTGACCACACACAATTCCAGTTGATTTGTAGCTGTGTGTGCTCAGGATCTCTTGTGGTTTAAAATCCAGCGTGCTACATGATGATCCAAAAACTTAGTTCATCTATTGGAAAAAGGCAGATCAATAGCAGAAGCCTTAGTTTGTTTTATGTTTGTCAATCAGGAAAACAGTATTTTTTTTGTTTTGTTTTTGTTTTGGTTTTTTTATTTGTTTTGTTTTTGTTTTTTTAATTACTCTCCTTTTATTAGTACAAACACTGTCATAGAAAGAGATCTAATAACATAATGATCCTTAAAATGAGCACATCTTATGCACAGTATTTGTAGGAAACAGATACACGTATATCTATCTATGCACCATTATGTGTGACTGTATGAATAACGTGGAGAATTAGAATTACTCAACATTACAGAGAAAAATTGATGTACTAAAAGGTTACAGTGAAACCATCTTGTCTTGAAGCTTGTAAGCACAGTGCTACAGTACAGTTCAATTTGCAGGAGAAATTTTGGCTGTTGGCTGCACTGTGACTGAGAACCACTTCTAAAACAGGGCTTAGTCATGTTTGTGTGGCAGTGTTCTGCTGTGTCAGCTTCTACAGCACATCCTTTGACATTAAACTTTTTCTTAATGTGAATGTCCAGATCATCCCACATCACTGATCTTAAATGGGTTTGATCACAGAATCTTTGAGTATCTCGCTCAAACTGCTTTTGATGGAAAACAAAATTACCAAGTAACAGGGCATCCTCCTGTTGACTTCTGCAATTGCAGTCAAGGACTTAAAGTGTTTTCCCACTGTTCCTTGGAAAGGTGAACTATTTTAAAAGACCTTTCTTTACAACAAACTGCTCAGTTTTGTTGTAGATTCCTCTGTTAAGAGGAAACGTATTTTTCTTGCTGTATGTCATACCTCCTTATTTGCCAAGTATGCTGTTTATTGGAATACATATGAAACCAGCAAAAAAACTCTCTTTGACCTTTGTTCACATTCATGGAAACCTTTAAGAGATTCTGCTTTCTTCACTAGATTACATCACTTTAAACTGAATCTATATCAGCTTTTAAATTTGAATTGTCTATACCAGACTCTGCCTATGTTGACTCATTACACTTTTGAACAAAATCACCTCTGACCACTAACAAAAGGGGCAGTGTATCTTGAGAATTCTGTATATGACTAACTGACATATACAATAAATAAAAATGTTACTACAGTAACAGATTGAAATTATATAGTTCATTTAAACCTTTTTCCAACTTCAGCTTAGTCCCCTCTAAAGCACACAGGAAATAAACATATTGAGCTGTCTGGCACCAGGCAACTATCCAGGTCCTGTTCTGTCTAGCACTGTGCTAGGCTTATCCATCTAATCAACATTAGGAGGTTTATTTATGTGAGACAGATATATTAGTAATAAATGAATTTATTCAGTAGCTTGGTAGATTTATACATGTATAAAATCATTTTAGTTTAAGGAGAGTTAAAACTGAGTGACTCCACTACTGTTATGGACTGTATCTTGAAACCCTTTGCAAGTTCTAGTCTCCTCTTCACAAGAAAAAACCACAACCACACACACACACAAAACCCAAAATAAAACATTAACTGAAGTCAGTGGAATGTTTACTAGTGCAAAATCTGTAAAAAAACTTAAGAACCGGTGAATGCAAGTGAATATGCAGCTATCTAAGTTGCAATTCAAAAGGTTGTGTGATATTTATGTACAATGTATGCAATATTCCATATATAAAAGTTCGTTTCAATTTTTACAGCCCAAGATAGTCGGTAGAAGAGAAACAGCTGACAGAATTTAGAAGGGATATCTGGGTTTTCTTCATCACACCTATTTGTACGTTAGACAGATTTTGTTCTAAGGCATTAATTTGACATGAGAGTCAGGTCTGTGCTACGTTGAAGTCTGTTTTCACTGATTCCTCTGCTGTTTTTTAGAAAATAAGACAGAGAATTCTCTTTAGTGCTAAGGTTTATCCATTTCAATCAGACAATGAGTGATACATTCTCACCTCATTCTCAGTTTTTAATTCCAAGTGGACATTGCTTTTGAAAAGTCCTTCTCTTTCCCCCCTTTATGCTGGCACTTGAAAGTTGAAATGCAGCAAGAATGTAATGTTAGGTGCCAGTTTGCTGAATTACAGGGTGACTGCTTTAGCTGATCCCAAAAAGCAAGTGTCTTTTTATACCGCATAAAAGCCTGAAATGTTTACATATCAAAAGGCTATAGGCCAATTTCTGTCAAAATTACACATGAAGTTAAACAGTACAAGCAATTTATTTAAACACTAGTCATTGTAGAAAAATTCAAAACCATATGCTCTTTTAGCAGTTTTTCACAAATGCATTTGACCCATGACTTGGCAAGACATGCATGCTTCATAATTTACTCTAAATTTCAAATCCCCCTGACATTTAAATAAAAGATCTTCATTAATAAAGTTTATATGAATGAAAACTTTAGAAGCTGATATTTTTAGAGGGAAGCTTTAGAAAAAAAAAAAATAATAAAAAAAAACCCAGCCACGTTTCTGCCTCGTTTTCAAATGACTGACTTTCCTAATCAGTTCAAGATAAGTTTATTCTGGGAACAAATTACCGTAATTTCGCATTGTATGACTTTTATACTTTTTTTTTTTTTCCTGGCGAAGCGATGATGCAATCTCTTTGAAACAAACGTGGGGAAAGCTGAAGAGTCATAACATTTGTAAGTGAGATGTTCCGCGCAGCTTTGTTTCCGAGAGGGTCTCGCAGCCGGGCACCCACCAAAGCCCCGGATCACCCCAGTGTTATCCCCTCGCGTGGGGCTGGAGTCCCGGCCGGGAGGGTGGGCTGCGGTTCTGCTCCCTAGACCCCTCCCGGGCGGCCCCGGCCGGCAGTCCCGGTGCTGCTCCCGCCGCCAGGCCGGGCAGAGACTGCGTCGGGAAGGAGATAGATGCGTTTTGCATCCCCGGAATTATTCCTTAATACATTAAAATAAAAAACCCGTCCGATTTCTAAACAGGAGCATTTTCATAGACTTGTGTATGGTGATTGCTTTGTATGAAATCGTGTTTGGGTAATAATACCAAAAATCAGCGCCGTGTTTACTTTATTTCATACCTAACAGCTTGTTCTGCCCAGTACTATGCTCCTCTTTAGATCCCTCTTTCAACCCATGCTGTGACCACCCTCCCGTAACAAACAATTGCTTAGCAACACTATGCAGCACAATTTGCTAGTGTTTCATTTGTTATTACAATTTCACCCGACATTGTGTGACAACTGATTGTTTGTTTAACACAATTTTCCATTTGCGAGGTTAGCGAAGAGCGCATGGGAAATGAGAAACTCCGAGAACAGGTTTTGCGAAGCGGGTATCAAAACTGGGGATTTCGTGGCAAAACGACTCAGATTAAAACAAACAAAACAAAAGAGAACTTCCCCACGGGGATGACAAGTTATTTGGGAAATATCGTATCTAAATTGGGAATAAAGGTAAGCGTTGCAGCGAGATGGATCATCCTTCAGGGGAGCCTTCGCAAGCGAAAAACTCGTAGGGAAGCAGAGCTTTCGCACAGCCCGAGCGGTGTGTGCTCCGCCAGCACCGCGGCTCTTCTGTTGCCCACTCGTGTCCGGCGGTGCTGCTTTCTCCTGAGAGAGGCCGGACAGGCGCGGAGATGAAACCGGGATGCAAGTGATGCTAAGCGCCCAAGAAGTCGGCCCCGGCGGCGAGTGTCCCCACGGAGGGTGTCCCCACCTGCGAGCCCCCGCACGAGCGGGGCTCAGCGCGGTCACCCTGCTGGCCCCCGAGGGGCGGCAGTCCCGGGGCAGAGCGCTGTCCCCGCCTGGCCCGATCTCTGCCCGTCCACCAGAGCCGCCCTGCAGAGAGCCTCGGGGCACCCGCGGGGATGTTCCACTCCGGGCCGGTGCGGGAGCGGGCCGTGCCCCGCTCTCGGCATCCCCTGGGGCCTGGTTTCCTCGGGGACCCCGAGCCTGGTTGGCCCGGAGCCCCGCTCACCGCCGCGGGTGCGCAGGCCACCGGAGGGATGATACCGCGCATTGCTGCAGAGCCGCCCAGGACGTGGACGAGCATCCCAATGGCGGCATTAAGCAGGCGCTGCTCTGCATGTAGCGTGACCGGCTGCACCCGGGGAATTATTGACCAAAAAACCCCAAGAAACCAGCCTGAAAGTCCCCCAAAAACATTAAAAACAAACAAACAAAGAAACAAAAATAAAGAAACCTCTCAAAAACAACAACAGAAAAAAAACCCCCAGATCTAACAAAACCCCAAAACTCTGTCAAATAGTTTCACTTTCCATCAAATTTGAAAAACTTGCACGAAGCTCAAGTCTAAATGACAAACGAGGAACGAAACTGATCAACAGATAAATCGAAGTAAAGGAAACGACATTAGTCATTAGTCACATCGCGATGTATCAATAAAGCGAGATTTTATTCCTGGGATTCTTTTTCTTTAACGTTTATACGAGTCTTTTGTTAGAAATAGGCTCTTGGTTTAGATCATCCTCAGGTGCAGTTTTGAATCCTGGAATATCGAGGAAAGAAAAGATAAAGTGCGAGTAAGCGCTAACGAGGATATTCTTTGTTGAGGAAACATAATGTGTTCCTCGTAAAAGGACCCTAATGGCTTGTTTTCATTTCATGCGTACAATTTCCTACCTTCTTTGATGGAGAGTTGATGGGGTAAATAGTCTAATCTTATTCAGTTCACCTCCTGTGGATTCCCAGTGACAGTCGTGACAGACGAAGTATTCTGCAAATCACAAGAGCCAGCTACCAGGAGAGCCAAACCACTTAATAGGAAGAGTTTTAGGGATTTAAAATTGCTCCATTTTAAAATTCACACAACACGCAAAATATAAAGTTCTCGGTATCATTGTAACTTTATGGGCTTTATTTTCTAAGCTAGAAAATAGAAGATTAAAAAGAAAAGAAAAGGGCACCAAGGTAGATCAGAAGCAAATCGGAATAACTATCACACCCGGGGATTTGAGGTGGCACTGGTCTTTAATATTTCCATCTCCTGGCTTGTTATGAAAATAAAAAGTGATACCTGTTTGAATCTAAGTCTATTAAAAAAAAAAAAAAAAAAAGAAAAGAAAAGAAAAAGAAAAAGGAAAAAGGAAAAAAAAAGGTACAGAAGTTTACAGCATTCACAAGTCCTTATTCCACCAGGTGATCTAGGAAAATAATAATAAAAAAAAGTTTACTTACTCAGTGAAGACGTTGTCGCTTCACTGCATAAAGTTTAAATGCCCTTTCAGTTCTCCGAGCCGGGGGACGCAAGATTCAAACCCTGCTACAGAAACACTTGTTGGGGGGAGGGAGGGCGTTGCATGGTTATATCGCAGTTTATTTTTTTAAAAGTGCTTCTTAACCAATTCGAAGCATAAATAATGAATCTGAGCTTCAGACAGAGGAAATCGCACCCACTAATGTGAACTAACATGACCAAAGTAGGTGCATAATAGACAAGACTAGGAGCTGCTAACCACTTCTGCACAATGGCATTAATAAGATTAACCTGGGCAATTAGCCGGTGCAGCAGAGATCAAGCCTAAATCTGGGGCCTTTCAAAAAAGCCCACTAATGGAAAGGATTACGTTAATTTCATTAATTCTGAATACACAGACTCGGGCTGCTTTCACTCCTTTGTGTAACCCCCACCTCTTCCCCACCAAAAAAGGGGAGAAAAAAAAATCAAATCTGGTTTTGTTTGTCATCTGCATATTACCAGGAACTAAATCCAGGATGACGTCGCCTGGGTATAAAAAAGGGAAGAGGTTCAGATGGATTATACTCCGAGCAGCCCTCTGGGCTGAGATCAGTAAACAGGCGAGAGTTGAGGGGGGAAAGTTCCAGGGGTGGATCCTGCGCACACGCACACACACACCGCACACGCAGCCACGCGCGCACAGACACACACGCACACTCTGCCCGCAAGCTGCCCTCGGAAAAGGCTCTGTTCTTTTCGCTCCGATCCCTTTTTAAAATTTCTCCGAAAAGTTTCGATTTCGTGTCTTTCCAGCCTCTCCCCCCTCCCCAACCACCACCTACCCTGCCTCCCGCCCTCCTCTTTCCCTCCCCCGGCCGGTCCCCGCCGCCCTGCCCCGCACGGTTTGGGGCATGCCTGTGAGCATGTTCAGCATCGACAATATCCTGGCGGCCAGACCTCGCTGCAAGGACTCAGTGCTGCTGCCCCCGAGCGCCGCACCCGTCGTCTTCCCCAGCCTCCACGGGGACTCGCTCTACGGCAGCGCCTCCGACTACGGCGGATTTTACTCCCGGGCGGTGGCTCCCGCCTCCGCGCTGCCGCCGGCCGTCACTGGATCTCGGCTGGGCTACAATAACTACTACTACGGGCAGCTGCATGTGCCGGCGTCCCCCGTGGGCCCTTCGTGCTGCGGGGCAGTGCCACCCCTGGGGGCCCAGCAGTGCTCCTGCGTCCCCCCTGCAGGTAAGGCGGCCCCGCGTGGGACGGGGCAGACGGGATTCCTTTGTTCCCGCAGCCGCGGGGCCGGAGGAGGAGGCTGCCCGCGAGAGCGCGGGTGGGCGGCGGAGGGGGTTTTGTCGGGACGGGTGGGGACGGGGTGGTGTGGGGAAGCAGCGATCTCATGCAAAGCCTGTCGTCGACTCATCTGTCTGTCCGTAGGTTACGAGGGCACTGGGTCAGTCCTGATGTCCCCTGTTCCCCATCAGATGTTGCCCTATATGAACGTGGGCACTTTGTCCCGGACGGAGCTGCAGTTACTGAACCAGCTGCACTGTAGGCGGAAAAGACGGCACAGGACAATCTTCACTGACGAGCAGCTGGAAGCGCTGGAAAACCTATTCCAGGAAACGAAATACCCAGACGTGGGCACCAGGGAACAGCTGGCCAGAAGGGTGCACTTAAGGGAAGAAAAAGTGGAGGTACTTTGGTTTCTTTTTCCTTCTTCCACCCTCTCCCTTTCACACTCAAACGCGCTCGAGGTACCGCAGTGCGGCTCCAGCCCGGCTCGGGCAGCGGAGGGAGAGGGACTGCTTTGGGGGGGCTGACGGAAAGTTTTTTATTATTATGTCCAAGCGCCCTTCCTTGGGGAGGCCGGCCGAGCTTGTCACGGGGCTGTGAGAGATTGTCGGGAGGCGGCCGTGCCTCCTGAAGGCGCTCGGCCGGTCCCACCCGAGCGGCAGCTTCCCCCGCCTCCCTCCCTCCCGTCCGAGGGCGGCCGCCGCACACCGGCCCCGGCAGGGCTCCTGCAGGGCTGAAGTTAGGCTGCGGGTTTGGACAGCTTTGTTTTTATTTTTTTTTCCCACTAAAAATTTAATTTCTTAACCTAATAGGTTTGGTTCAAAAACCGCCGGGCGAAGTGGAGGAGGCAAAAGCGATCGTCTTCGGAGGAGTCAGACAACGCACAAAAGTGGAATAAAGCGTCTAAAACGTCACCGGAGAAGAGACAAGAGGACGGGAAAAGTGACTTGGACTCCGACAGCTGATGCCTCTCAGTAGGGGGGACATTTCCCGTGGACTGTCGGATATGCTCCAGAGGATGTTACTAATCTTGCACAAGCTCTGCCTTGTTGGAGGGGGAAAATATCTGTATATAATGTACAATGCCCCGAGTTGATTCCGTGTAAATAAAATGTGTTTGCGGAGGTGTTGCACAGGTAGACGGCGGCGCGTTTGTTCACCCTGCGCCGCGGGGAGAGGGAGAGGAAGGAGAGGGAGAAAGCAGCAGGGAACGATGGTGCCCGTCTCCCTGGGGACCAGGGCCGGCCTTGCCGGCGCAGTGACTTGTTTAGCGGTGCAGTGTGAAAGCAATGTGAAAATTTATCGCACAATGTGAAAGCCGGCGGAGGGCAGCGCTGGCGGCCGGGCCCCCCTCGCTGCAGGTCGGGGAGCGATGGCGTATCTCTTAGGTGAAGGGAAGCGGCGGAGGCCCGGCCAGGCTCGTCCCAGTCCGACGGCGGCCCCTGGGGCAGTCTGGCTTGGGTAGAAGCCGAGGCGGCCGGGAGCGAACCCTGCTACTCCTCCCGGCGCTCCGATCCCGGCCGGCCCATTCTCCCTGCCCCGCTCCCGAACGCTTCTCCCTCCGGGAGCGCAAAGGCTCCCCCGGCCCGCGCAGGCGGCGATGCCCTTGGTAAACACTTCCACGCGAAGCAAACCCGGCCTCACTCTTGTTACTCTGTCCCGTCTCCCCGCGCCTTCCCCCGTCTCGCTGCAGTTGCGCCCTGTTGAGTTTTCAAAGCGCTCGTCTTGGACCCTCGTTTAGAAAAGCCGTCTCTCTACAGCGGTTTAAAGTTGCTGTTAACAAATTTCAGCCATTATCAGATGAATTACGTGTAAGGGGAGTACGAGCCCTCTTGTGCTGCTTTTGCGGGTGTTTCAGAGGAAGTTCCTAATGGAAATTTTCTCCCCTTTGAGGCAGCACCTTTGCAATTAAGAAAACAGTGAAGCCCGGTCTCATTTTACTCTTTCCTCTAAGAGGGCCTCGTAGAAGAGACGTCTATTCCCCCTCTAAAGTCATGTTCATTTTCCTTTTGTTTGTTCTTCTGTGACTGCCCAGCTCAGAGCTCATCACTTCAAAACAGAAACACAGCAATTGCCCCCATGGTGTTGTGTTTTGAAAGACCCTTCTCTCTCCTTGCCTACAAAGACTGTTCATAAATTTAAAACAAATGACCTGAAGGTGTAAAGCCAATGCAGATAATCTCTGGCTGGAAAACTTCATGTAGCACCTTTCATTCAGAAGTTAAGTGGTACTGAGCTGATTTTAATTAATTATGGCCAATGCCTTAAACTCACCTGTATCTATTCAGCTCATCTAGTTTAGACAAATTGTTTTGTACAAATGTGCCCACCATTGCTTCCAGTGACACTAGAAAGTGTCAACTGCTGTGTTGCTTGTCCTTATGCTTTTTCCTCCCTTTCCTGATATATCCAGGCTTTTATCGGTGTTGTGACATGGTGAGTATTGCAGGTGTTAGTGTGATAGAGCCAGTCTTAGTACTTGTCTGCTCAGACAACATTTCTTAATGTACCCATGTAGATCTGGTATCTCTCTCTGAGCAACCTCTCGCTGTACCAAGATGTAGGAACAGCTGCTGTGGAAGAAATTCAGTGTGGTTTTGTACGAGCCAGTCCTTTAGGGGGCTAAGAGTTTCATAGCTACTTGCTCTCTTTAAGAGAAGAATTTTAGCCTCTTGTTCCTTAGTGCAGCAGAGGAGGAAAGGTAAAAGCAAATGGATCCTTCTTTTTGGATACATATAACAGTTTGGCTCTATGGAGCTATTGCATTTGGGAGATGTGGATGCATATTTGATCTCTGTAAATTGTATTGAATTACAACCAAACAGCACTAAAAATTAGGTTTTAAGTTACTGAAAATTAGTTTTGAAAAGAAGTGTTTTGTTATGTTATATGCAGGAAGTCTCAATGAGTGGATTTTTAATGTCGTTGCCTCTGTATTTAGTCATTGTTAGGTTTTAAAGTGCATACTTAATTTGCAAATAAAAGCCAGGTCTAGGGATAATATTGCCCAGGATTTTGCAAGTGCTTACATACTTCCCATGTGTAAATGTCCTTACTGCCACACCGGGAGCTTGGTAGTGTTTTGTTTTGTTTTGCACTTTTTGTGTGTGATGGTAATTTTGGAAGTCACTATTAAGGATTTTAGCCTGCAGAGTTGAATGTGGGAGTTAAACTGAATCTGGGTTTGTAAGAAGTGGGCTTTAGAAATGTTTTTGATTATCAATAGTAGTTACTTAAAACTGCAGTCTATATGTTTAGAGATATTTAGACTTCTCCAATGGGAGCAAGGTGTTTGAGATCCATGGAAGCTCAGGTCATTGAACATGCCAAGTTGTGGACTTTTTAGAACTTTTTGTTATGTGGAAGCATGGGATGTGATGTAAGAATCAAATCTTTTTATTCCAAAACACTCTTTCTGTGCATGGAATTGTGATGAAGCCACCACCAATTGCTTTAAAATCACATTGTACCTAGTCTGTGTTAATTTTTGAGTTTCCTCTAAACTCTTGATTACCATAAGCTTGATCTCTCAGTCACAGATAGCTATTGTTATTACTACATATAGGTGTAGACCTATAAGAGTTAATAATATCACTTTAAAATCTAATTGAAAAGCAATTTTAATCTTGACCTAAAAGCTTTACCTTACTTACTAAAAATGGCATTTGCACCATTAGACAGTAGGAGTAGCTGTCTCATTCTTTTTCTCACTGGTGGTTGTTGAAAACCTAAAAGCTTCGTTCTACCTTTCTTGTACTACAAAATCAGATCCTGTGCAGTATGGAAGAGTCTTATAATGGCAAAGTAGCTAAGAATATTGCATGAAAAGGATCAAGAAACTAAATTATTGAAAACATGAGGGTGATTGTAATAAGATCTCTCGTTCGCTTGTGCTGTTTGGTTGGCATATTCCATCTCTAGGTGTCTATCTGGATTTTTATTTTAGGAGAATTTCTACATGCCAGAATGCAAATGCCACGTAACTGCTTTCATTATTTTCTCTTTCTGTTGGTGCAGTAGAAACAAGGCAAAGCAAGGTACCTGAATATGTACTGTGTTCCAGCAGGTTCAGTTCTAACAAAGGGGCTCTGAAAGTGTTGGTTGTGGTTTTGTTTGTTAACACTTGCCTAAAAATGACACCAAAAGATATATTTTTTTAATTTGTTTGTTTTGGTTTTGTCTGTATCTCCTCCACTGCAATTTACAACCTTGTATCTTGGGTTGTCCCATTCTCAGAAAACTGAATGGGACTCAAATGTGTTGTATTGTTCATAGCACTGATATATTATCTAGGTTTTATAGCATGAGTTCAGTTTCTTGCTGCCTTACTGATTTTCTCTGATATGTTGGACTTCTTTCTTTCTAAATTTCTGTCTGTAGAATGAATAATATTCCTCTCAGATCTCACAAGGGAGGGAGGTTGAGGAGGGGATATATGAAGAAACATAAGTTACTTTGGAGCTTCACCACTGTAGTGCAGACTTATTCCAGACAATGCTATGCATTATAGGAGTAATAATTGAATTAATTATACAAAAGGAGCATACATCAAATAAATCTCCCTGACATAAGCTGGCTTAGATTGCAGAATTCTGTTGCAAGGGAAAGCTAGGGAAGCAATGTGTAGTAAGGGTCCTATGCAGAAGTTTTCTACCGTATAGAGGCAGATTCAGCA